AATCATATTCACAGAGGCTTCCTCATTCCTTAATGCTTTTCACTAGACCAATACCACAACTTGGCGAATTACGATGACAAACAACTCATCTCTGACCTCAACTCATGTGGTTGACGGATGTAAGGATCAATAAAGGCTTTATTTTGTAGACATGGACATCTTAGAGTTCATATTCATTTCTCTTGGTTTTATGATCACTCAAAACATGAAAAAACTAACGCCCCGTTTGATATACATCTTTTTAGGCCCAAACATATCTTTCTGGTTGAATGGACCGAAAACATTGTTTTGGTTTTCACAAAAAGGGGTCTTTCCCGATAAGATATGTCTTTCCCAAAAAAACCTCGAAAACCATATATTTCTGGCTGAATGGGTCAGGAAAGACAATTGTGCCATAAACCTGACATCTTTACTTTTTGGATTATTAAATTCTGTTAAATAATTTTTAAATTTTTTTATTGGATAATTACTTATAATATATTAATGAATATTATTTTTAATATATAATATTTATGTATTAATAAATATTAAATATTATATTATTTGGTTATTAATTTCTTTTAAATAATTTCCTTTTTAATTTTTTTATATATTAACTTTTTGTTGGATTATTATTTATTAATAAATATTATTTATAATATATAATATTTATATACTATTAAATATTATTTTATTGAATTATTAGTTTCTTTTAGTTACCTTTTTTAATTCATTTTTATTGGATTAATTCTTAATTTTTTGGACAACACCGTCATCATTCTAATTTATTTTAAAAAATCTCATTTATCCCATCACTATCAGACATAAACTATGTCAAGAATCACACATTGAGCTATAAAAATACTAAAATGGCAATAAATAATAATAACGTAAAATCATCTTTAAAAACAATATACTAAAAACAACATAATCAACATTCTATTTGGATTTTAATTGATTTATGTTAAATTATTTTGTTTGATAATTTGTATTTGGATTTTAAATGATTATTGTGTAATTTTGATTTTCTATGACAGTTTGTTTGTTTTTTATAATATTCAACAACTTCATCTATCACAGTATAAAACAATAGGATAATAACATAATATTTAATCATTCAGCACAGTCAGTCAGATACACTATTAAACAACATGGTTTCTTTTTCAATCAGAAAACTTTCCCAGACATCAATTTTACGAACAACAACTATCAAATATGACCTAAATTTTTTGATAGAAACAAAAGATTAATAACATGCTAAGCCTTCATAAATTTTGATATTGTTTTCCATTTTTAAACATGTTTTTAGATGATTTTAGAAATTGTTCTTATTTTTTAACATGTTCTATAGATGATTTTTGAATTTGTTTTTCAGTTAGGAAGATGCTATGTAGATGATTTAAGAACTAGTTCTTCATATTCAAACATATTCTTTAGATGACTTTTGAACTTGTTTTTCATTTTTGACAAGGCAATATGTATATTCGACCATGTTCTTTGATAGCTTAAATTTCCCAACTTTAATAAGTTAGAGAAAAACTTACTTGAATTATAGAAAACATTTGAATAAAGCAGTATCAAACAAAATTTTATAACATGTTCTTCGTATAAAATACCATTCACAAAGAATACAAAAAGAAATTTTGACATTTATGATATGTTATTTTGTTTCAAGTACGTAGCTGAATACAATATATGGTTTTGGTGTAGTTGTTTTATTTAAATAAAATAAGAGAGTAGCATGCAATGAAATATTTTATTAAATAACTTGGCATAAATGTAAACGACGCTTCTCGGTCTACAAAATAACAAACTTAAACTGTCATTCTTACATAGCCAACTACTCTTTATTTATGACTTATGAGTACTCTGTGCATAGGTAGGCATAAATAGTTCATCTATGGACATTAAATTGCTACTTTTTTATATCTATCTATTAATTATATTTGGTATTTTGTCATGTAAATATGATTTTTTTTCGAACATATTAATATTATGCACATAATTTTGATAATTAATTTTCCATTTTTAGAACAATTAAATAATTATGATTTGATATTTTAGATTAAAAAAGGTTTGCGTTGTGAATGTGCAATTCTCAATTCACAATTCAAAAATTTTTAAATTGTAATTTTCGAAATAATAATAAAAAAACTGAAGCAAGGGAACTTACAATTTGCCATTATTTAGAAAAATATTATAAATTCACTTAAATCTCCTACAAATTATATTGACCAAAATCCAAAAATAAAATTAATAATTTAAGCAACACCCCATAAGCAATAACTACATTGATAAAAATCCAAAACTCCACAACTGATATTACAATAATCGACCACTACACTCTCGACCTATGAATTAGATTTACAATCCGAATTACACGAGACTAATCGTACTTCATAAAAAAAAAATAAGGAGTATTCTATTTTTTCTTTTTAATTATTTTTCTAACATGTAAAATGGGACAAATATCTTATTTTCATAAAATTATTAATATATTAAGACACTTGTCACCGGTTTACATAGATAAGAAGACAAATAAAAATTAAAAAAATATTTAATTTCTCTTTTACATATTCAACCAACACCTACATAATCTTGAATATTGTCCAACCAATGAGCACACCAAAATTGAATTCCAAATAATAAAGATGAAATTATAAACCGTATCTACACAAGGACAAAATTAAATGTTAAATTAAAGACAAATGAAATAGATAATTATCCAACTAAAAGATTAAAATTGAATTTTTTGAGAACGATATATGGTTTAAATAGAGCAATCTAGAAACTCATCAATTTGTCAACGCTTCTATACGTTTATGAGAGCGCTGCTTTATAATCATGCCTATAAATCAAACCAATGATACAGTTTCCACATTTTCTAATCATGATCAGAAGATTTATCTCAGTTTCATGTTTTCGCTAGTGGAAATGAAAATGGTGTAATAATAGAAGAGATTAATGTAAAATGAAAGGGGTGATTTGAACTTTTATATTTATTTAGAGCATTGTTGTAAAAATCTTGAATAGTTGTAGTTTAATCTTCGATTAGTCTTTCGGCGGTATACAATTGCTAAAATACGGCTAACAATTAATTCATGCCTAAACAATGAGTAAAGCTATAGAGCCCGATGGATTTTAACACATTGAAAAAGTTATATCTCAATAAAAAGTATTTGAGGAAAGATTGATATTGTATTAATCATATTAACCTACTTTTTTATAATATTTGTGGTATTTATAAACTCTCTTATGATATTAGTCATTTTTAATTTAATGTTTTTAAATTAGGGTTCTCAACTAGTCGTCAACTGATTTGTAGTTGCTAATTGACTGACTTAGTACCCTTAGCGACTTTTAAAACATTGATTTGGAGTAAAAGATGTAGGCCATCACTAAGGGTCTGTTTTTTTTTTTTTTTTTTGAATCTCTTCTTTGTCTATTTTGATTGCAAGTGAGCACATTATTTGAAGACTTTGACAACATATGTCAAAACTTTTGTATATCCTTTTTTCTTAGATGGCTTGAAAAATCACTTTTAAGGTCCACAGAGGCAACAAAAGATGTTTCCTTTTGAACCCTAAAAAACATGCATTTCATTCTTCCTTGATACTCATCACCAAACACAAAACCTAATCCCTTGTTGCTCCATCGTCAGACTACCCCCATGCTGGATCATCGTCCACGCCACACCGACGCAACCATCCACGCCATGGGCTTCCTATCACACGCCACAAAAAAACTTCTCTTTTCTTGATTTTATGAAATCATTGTTACTTTTCTAAAATCGATGATGCTTCTATTGTGTTGGTTTGTTGAAATATGATGGGCTATGTGTTTACTATAATCTTTGTTTACTGAACTGTTAATTTTTAAAATATAAGTTGGGTTTTAATTTGTCACTAAGTTGTTCATTTTTAGTGAAGTCTTTTGTAATTTGATTTGTTACCAAGTTAGGTTTTGGAAACCACTGTTTACTGCAAATTTTGTTCATCGAAAGGTTATTGGGGTGGTTTTGCATCATTTGTGTTCATGAACTTTAAGCATCAGACACGTTCTTGCATCATTTGTGTCTCATGATTAACCGCGAAGTTAAATGCGGTTGGGGTGGTTTTGCAAAGCACAATACCATTATAGATGCTTGAAGACATGCAAAAGGATGTTGCTAAATGAAAGGGCTATTGGAATCAAAATTTATTCCTAAAAGTGGGTTGTGTCAAAAGGGCATTGCAAATATATGATGCTGAATTGGATTTCATGTTTAAATTCATTGTAGTTCACAATGTTTAGGGAATGAACTTTGATACATATTTAATAGGTACAAACTTTTATGAAACGAGCTAATGATGGATCCAACATCCGACCTACATATACACCCAAGCTCTGTCTAATCGAGCTTGTCTTAATGTGTGGACACCTTCTCTTATATACACCTTCACGCCTTTAACATTCAGATTCAAAGCTACACACATACCCATTAGTAGACAAGTATGAAACATACGTTTTCCATGGTGGTCCAGGTTAGTATTGAACTTGATAGGTATTTTGGACAATAGTGAAAGCGTATAATTTTATTTGGTTTAGATGTTTCATATTGACATAAATAAAAGTGATTGTATTTATGCTACGTAATATACATGGCCTATCACCTACATTAGAGTTATATAAATATATAATCTTCTTTTACCTAAGATTAATATAATTATATGTAAATGAATGATGGGAGTAGTTTTCCTTTTGTTTACTTTTTCCGTTTTTCCAACAATGTCACTTTCTTGTTTTCACTCATGTATCTTCCTTCCTACAACTGTCCACTCTCTACTGTATCTATTCTAATAACTCTCTCTAGTCTCTAAGCTATAAAAACCTGCTCATCGTCTTCATATGTAGCCTTTTTTCTCTCCATTCAAACTATCTTATAGTGGGTAGTCGTCTGTAGAAGCTAAAGCCTGCTTCAACACCTCCGCCGTCGTCAAATTTTCACCCACTGGCCACTACCCTATCATCGCCGGCGGACTTCTTTAATGGCGTTTCATCCTAACCATCTTCAACAACAGATGGCTCTACAGCAACATTTCTCCGACACCGACAACAATTCCGTCCTTCGTACAATTCTCCCGGACCACCATCACCTCGCCGTCGCCGCCCAGTCTTCTTCTCCTTCTTCTCGTTCTGCCGGAAAAGACCATTGGCTCAATAGCGCGATTCTCCGGCAACAAGGTCAGTACGCCGGTGGGGCTACCGACGGGAGTAATAATTTCCTCAACTTGCAAACCAACAATAATTCGGATTCGCCAGTGTCAACGTCTTCACAGCATCTTCATCATCATCACCATCCTCATCAACAAGGTGGGAATAATAACCAGTGGCTATCGAGATCGATGCTGCAAAGAAACGTTAGTGATGTTGGAGGAGACGACATCGTTACCCAAGTCTCCAACGATTCGATTATCGCCGCTATGTCATCTCATGATTCTCCTGATTTAAACAACAATCAATCCAGAAACATCGTCAACAGTCCGGTTAGATTGAAATCTCCGACTTTTCAATTTTCAGTTTTCATCGTAAAAAGAAAGATCTACCCAATTTTAACCACAGATGCTCTGTTTTAACATCCACCAACACCAATTAGTTTAACTCCCAATTGGGTTATTCAAAACACAGCCAAATATGATTCCTACAACGATATTTACAGGTCGATAACAATGGCGGAGGCGAGCTAGGGGAGAGTGAAGACGGAGGTGGCGACATTAACTGGCAAAATGCGAGATACAAAGCAGAAGTACTCTCACATCCGCTGTATGAACAATTATTATCAACTCATGTCGCTTGTTTGAGAATCGCAACTCCCGTTGACCAGTTACCCAGAATCGATGCACAGTTAGCACAATCACAGCATGTTGTATCAAAGTATTCAGGTTTTGAAGGACAAAGTAATCTTGGAGATGATAAAGAACTTGATCAATTCATGGTATGCATCTTTCTTCTTAATCTTTATAATCTTATAATCTTAAAATCATAAAATCTTAAACTGATTGTATTATGATCTGGTGTTGGAAACATGAAACGCAGACTCATTATGTTCTGTTACTTTGTTCTTTCAAAGAACAACTACAACAACACGTTCGTGTTCATGCAATGGAAGCAGTAATGGCGTGTTGGGAGATCGAACAATCGTTACAAAGCTTAACAGGTTTGGTTTTTTTGTTTTTTTGGTTGTATTTTATGTTATGAAAAGTTTATTAATTATTATATTTGGTTGTTGAAAAGGAGTGTCACCTGGAGAAGGTACAGGTGCAACAATGTCAGATGATGATGAAGATCAAGTGGATGAAAGTGATAATGGAAATTTGTTTGATGGGAGTTTTGATGGACATGACAGCATGGGATTCGGGCCTCTTGTTCCAACAGAGAGTGAGAGATCGTTAATGGAGCGTGTAAGACAAGAGCTTAAACATGAGCTCAAACAGGTAACATATCTAAGATTATGTTTGGTGGAATAAGTAAAAAATGATGAATTAATTGTTAATTAGTTATATTTTGGTTTTACAAACGTGACAAATTATATAAAAAAAGATGGAAAAACTCGAAAAATAAACATGTTTACCAAAGATAGACGAAATCATTGTTTCTTTTTCTTTCTCTTCATAAACAATTACAATTGGGAAGTTTAAGTTTTTCCATTAACAAGATATTTAGTACCAACTCAACAAATGGAAAAACTTAATATATCCACTATAGAAAAACTTTTTTATAAAGCTTGTTTATGGGTCCTATAGAAAAGATATAGAAATGAATTAAAAGTTATTATACTTGTGAAAAGGCTCCATGTAAGAGCTTAGAGAGCTTGTTATTTTACAAGTAACATAAATAAGTTTTGGGGACAAAAAAAGCTCTTCGTTATAGCTTTTTTAACTCAAGAAAAAAAAAGATAAAAAGCTCTAAGTGCCCTAAAGGAAATGAAAGGAAAAAATATATTAAAACAAGTACATACCACCTCATAGATTGAAGAAAAAAGTAAAATTAAAACGAGTTTATAAAGTTTAACCACTTCATATGTCGATGAATTATCATGTTTGGTTGTTCTTTAGTAATGAAAGAAACGAATGTTCACATAACTTTTTATATTTTATGTAAATACAATATAGTAATTCAACTTTATTTTATGCATGATTTCGATTATGATTTTAACTTTTTATATACAAAAATATTTAAATTAATGATAACAAGATCTTATTAAAACCAAGATAACTCATAATTTTTTTAATATATTTGGTAAATATTAGGGTTACAAGGAGAAGATTGTGGATATTAGGGAGGAAATTTTACGCAAAAGAAGAGCCGGAAAACTTCCCGGCGACACCACGTCTGTGTTAAAATCATGGTGGCAATCACATGCCAAATGGCCATACCCCACCGTGAGTCTTCCAAATTCACCATTAATTCACCATCATTTTGACTATTTCGAGTCAAAATCGTTGACTTTTTTTTGACGCGTTTACAATTTACAGGAAGAAGATAAGGCAAGATTGGTACAGGAAACGGGGTTGCAATTGAAGCAGATAAACAATTGGTTTATTAATCAAAGGAAGCGAAATTGGCATAGCAATCCTTCTTCTTCTACAGTCTTGAAGACTAAACGCAAAAGGTATTACATCTTATTAACGCAACCATTTATTAGATTTATAAAAAAATTTCATGAAAATGTGATGAATATTGAATACCCACTAACCCTAATCACAAAAAGAAGCAATGCAGGTGATAAAAGCAATGATCATAACATGTTAAACTAAGCACATTTATCAATGGAATGATGATATTGCATGTAGTTTCAAGAAAGATCTAGTTGAAGGTTTGAAGAGAAGATGAAAATGGTGTAAGGTTAAGAAGTTTGAGCTTTGAGAGTCATGTATATGACTAAAAAACTGAAATTTCGGATACGCTTATGTATCTATCAGTTTTGTGTGAATAGGATAAGGGGATGTACATGTACATAATAAGATAGCATGTGGTGATTAATATTTAGTAATTAGTAATGCATGTGACATATATTTTGTTTGAACTACTTTGATCATGTAAACATCGTTAATTCTTGTGTGTTCTTTATTTGAATAACCCTCGCACAAATCTTATGGTTTTTATAATGAACAATGACACAGTGACATGGAAATACTATTTTGGCCAACATGGGTTTGACTTTCGGGTATGTAAAATTTGAATTTTATATAGAAGTTAAAATAATTTACAATTGAGGTACAAATCTACAAGTTATAAGAATTAAAAGAATAGCTTTCATGAACTTATAATTCAATAAAAGTAAATTCCAAGTTTTGTCCTATGGCATCAATTAACGTATAGGTTTAGTATAAGTTATCGTTTATTGCCTTTTTAGGTCAAAAAGAGTTATTTTATAATGATTTGGTGTTGAATAATTGTCGTTTGATGATTACTTTTTGACAATATCTACCACATTTGCAAATGCATGCATTTGCGTTTTTGTCATTTTTTTACATCAATCTTTTTTAAGCTTTTTTTTTTTTTTTAATAAGACCATCTCATCAAATGCATGCATTTGCGTTTTTGACATTTTTTTACACACCAATCTTTTTTTAAGCTTTTATCTTCTTTTTTTTAATAAGACCATCTCATCCTCGACGTAATATTTTCTAAATCAAAACGAAATATCAACCCAAATATGATATAGGATTATAACCCATTAAATATCATCACAAATATGATTTTTTGGCCCATTGTGAACATAGTTGTGATTATGGGCTTATGGCCCATTACATGTCAAAGTATCCAACCCGTTATTTTCATTCCAAACTTGCATTCTTTTAACTAAAAAACCTATAAAAACACCATACAATTTGGGTTGGTTTATATATATATATATATATATATATATATATATATATATATATATATATATATATATATATATATGGAAAAGGAAATATATCCTTAAGAGTATATAAGCTTAGGTACCAAAACTCACCATATTATATCGTTTTGTATCATATATATACATTGTAATTATCCAATGTTCTTCTAATTCAACTTTTAACTTGATTTAATTCTAAAATTTTTATAAATTTTACATTTATCTTCCTTTTATATAATTTTCATTTTTAATTATAATATATATAGCCTAGTAGGTGTTCGACATAAATATGTGATGTAAGAGGAAGATAATAGTGAAATTTCGAAAATCCTATAAGTAAATCAAATTAGGGGTTGAAGTTTAAGAACATTATAATGATTATATCAAACAAAACGAAGTATTATGGTGAGTTTGGATACCTAAGCTTATATATCTTAAGGGTATATTCACTTTTCCTATATATATATATATATATATATATATATATATATATATATATATATATATATATATATATATATATATATATATATATACCTACTTTCACTCATAATATCACAATCTAATTTGTAAACTGGACTATTTAAGTACAATTATATTCTTAACCACATAAATTAAAACGAGCATTGCATGCTTAATTGCTTATAGATGTTGGAAAGTCGTATAAAATCCATCAAACCATTATGTATTTTTATTACTTCAAAATTTTATTACGATAACTTATAGATTGATAATTTTTTTTTGGTCGTATATATTTTATCGATGCAATTGACTATGCCAGTAAAACTATCTATTAAAACTATCTATTATTGAATATAATTGCTCAAGGGACTTAAATTATAAAGCGTAAAATTTTGTTTTACGTTTATCGTAAATGTATTTAATTATTTATAATTAACGAAGAAAAAGGACAATTTGAAACGAGTCAAATTAGAACACACAAATGTGGATCACATAGATAATCATTCAACAAGACAAATAAACTCAGAATATTTAAAGTCACATCAGCGGATGAATATGTGATTATGTGATATATATTAAGTTAAATCTTGCAAATATTCATTCTAAATATAAAAGCATGTTTAGCTATCCATAGATAAAATATCATTTCAAAGTTATTTAGAAAAACATTGCACATGTTTTGTTGGAAAAAGGTAATTTGTATACAATGAACTTTCTTCAATAAGTAACAAAATAATGGAAAACCTTTTTACTTTATTGATATAAACCTTCTCAAACTCTCAAGAAACAATACCAAGAGTAACATATCCTTTTACAAGTCAAAAAATAAAATGAAACAATTTAATAAAAGATTCTATCTAATGTAGGTGAAATAATATAACGTTACTCGAAATAGATCAAGATTTTATTAACATGAAGACATTATTATATAAAATAATAATAATTGTAGTTTTTTTAAATCAAATCTTATTGAAATTAATAATTAAAGGAGGGTTGTTTTTTTAGATCGAATCTTATTGCAATAAATAAAAATAATTGAAGAAGGGTTGAATTTTACAAAAAGGCCATTTTTATATTCTTCAACTACTCGCGCATACAGCCATGGATTACAACCAAAACCCATACGACTTTGTTCTTCATCTTCTTCCCCCTTTCACCCACTTCTCTCCTTCCAAAAACCCAAAATCTCCCATCAAAATCCCCAATTCCTACATGTAGAAAACGCAATCACGATTCAAACCAATTGAATATTGCGACATGGGGTGTGGGAATTTCTTCTTCACTCTAACAATAACTTTTTCAGTAGCTCTAATCACATACAACATCATCATTTCAGCCAATGCTCCACTCAGGCAAGAACTCCCAGGCTCATCACAAGGGGTTCTCTCTGTTGACCCGATAATCAAGATGCCTGGGAATAGAAAGTCAGCTTTGGCCGATAAGAAGAGGATGTTTCATACTGCAGTTACTGCGTCTGATTCTGTTTATAACACATGGCAGACTAGGATCATGTACTATTGGTTTAAGAAGATGAAGGAAAACGGCGGAATGAATTGCGAAATGGGCGGATTTACGAGGATCTTACATTCTGGAAAACCCGATCAGTTCATGGATGAGATCCCGACTTTTGTTGCTCAGCCACTTCCAGCTGGAACAGATCAGGTATAATTCTCGTAACCATCGTATCTATATCTTTCAATTCAAGTAATTCATTCATTTTCCGGCTCATTTTACCTAGGAAATTAGGTTTATCCATCAATGGAAGTCCAATTTTGACTTGTAAAGTCAAAATTGACATGAATGTTTAACTTCGAGAAACTTCCGATACCTACATTGACAATTAATCAAAATTCTGTTACAACGAAAGACATATTTCTGTGTAAAAACCCAATGTCCTGAATCTAAATGTAATTGTAATCTAAACATCAATTTAAAGTAGGGAAATTCTGACAATTTTGAACTTCATAATCAAAATGGGACTTTCTACTTTGAGAGATTTAGAGTAATTAATATTTGTGTATGCTTAGATATAGAGAAACCCACAAGTTCATTTGAAGTAAATATTAATGGCTACTACTCAACTACCCTGATTTTGATTTTCACTGATAAAATTTTTGTATATTTCAGGGTTATATAGTCCTCAATCGACCATGGGCATTTGTGCAATGGCTACAACAAGTCGACATTAAAGAAGAGTAAGTGAAAACATAAATTCATTTTGTACATTTATAAAAATCCAAATCTTGAATATTTTTTTTATAAAAATTTATGCAGCTATATATTAATGTCAGAGCCAGATCATGTTATTGTAAAACCAATACCAAATTTATCCAAAAATGGGCTTGGAGCAGCTTTTCCTTTTTTCTACATTGAGCCTAAAAAATACGAGTCAATTCTTAGAAAATTCTACCCAGAAGAAAAAGGGCCAATTACCAATATTGACCCTATAGGAAATTCACCTGTTATCGTTGGAAAGGTACATAAATTTCAATTATATAATAATCATTTGCAAATTGAAAATTTTGTTTAATGTGACATTTGATTATTTACCTTGTTTTGAAATTAGGAATCTCTTAAAAAGATAGCTCCCACATGGATGAATGTGTCTTTGGCCATGAAAAAAGACCCTGAAGCTGATAAGGCTTTCGGTTGGGTTCTTGAAATGTAATTTAATTATTTACACTTAGTTTAATGTATTTATAAATATTTTATGATTTTAAACTTTTCAAAATTAAAAATAATGATTTTTATATGTAGGTATGCTTATGCTGTTTCATCTGCTTTGCATGATGTTGGAAACATCTTACATAAAGACTTCATGCTTCAGGTTTGTTTATTTTTGGAAAATTACCAAAAAACCATTATATTTTTTGTTCATGAATAATAATATTTTTTATTTTTCCCTTGTTTGTGTATATATGAATTAGCCACCATGGGATACGGAAATTGGGGAGAAGTTTATTATTCACTACACGTATGGATGTGATTATGATATGAAGGTATTAATTGTAGTGTACATAAAAAAGTCAATAATAAATAATAAGTTTTGTTTTTTCATTTAATTTGAGAAAAAAAGTTGATAAGTATGTTGGTATTTATAGGGTAAATTGACATATGGAAAAATTGGAGAGTGGAGATTTGATAAAAGATCATTTGACACAATCTACCCTCCAAAAAACCTTCCACTTCCTCCACCTGGTGTCCCTGAAAGTGTGGTAAGCTTTTTTTTTTTTTTTTTTTTTTTTTTTAAATTACAAATTCATCACCATATTATAATTTTATTTTACTTTTTGAAAATTTCTTAATTTATAAAAATTGTAGGTTACACTAGTGAAAATGGTGAATGAGGCATCGGAGAACATCCCAAACTGGGGAGCTTGAATACAAGATATGATATTAGGGGATATTTTTCGGGTTTAACATATAGAGGAATTATGTTATATTTTTTCTTATTTTATTCAAAGTGATGAAAAATAGGACATTGATGAAGGTATTATTACAGTTTAAGCAGTTTAAGAGAGGGGTTGGATTTGGTTCGTGTATTTTCTTCTTCTTGTTGTGCATAAATTGAATTGGTACAGGAATTGCAATTGAGATGAAAATGGCTTCTTTTAGTGTTCTTAGGGAGACACACAGTCTTATATGAAAGACAAAACTTCAAAAATGGTTCCTATGGTTTCCGAAAATATCAAGTTTAGTCCCTAAGTTCAAAAAACCTCACGGATCGTCCCTGTGGTTTCAAAACTTTTAACAAATGATCATTTTCGTTAACTCTGTTAGCTTTTGGCCGTTAAGTGAAGGGTATTTCGGTCATTTCATTATTACAGGGACCATTTATGAAGTTTTGTCTTATATATATATATATATATATATATATATATATATATATATATATATATATATATATATATATATTTAATATAAAGGGGGCCCACCTATGCATCTCTCTCTCTCTCTCTCTCTCTCTCTCTCTCTCTCTCTCTCTCTCTCTCTCTCTCTCTCCAACCAAGAAACAACCATAACCCACCACCCAAAACCACCCTTATACCTCCCTCTTCTAATCAAAAACGTCACCCCAAACACCACCTCACATCTCCCTCTCATTTATTTCTGCCCAGAAAAAGGAAGGAAGAGGTGGCATCCACTTTGCTGCCACCAAACTGCCACAACCCCACCCTTCGCTGCTACCACCGGAGAGCACATCCCCAACCCTTTGTTGCTGTTGTTTTCGATCACCATAGCTCTCTTCCTCATCCCATTTGTTTTCACTAGCAATTTTAAGCAAGAAAGAAGAAGCAGAAGGCCACCAAAGCAACCTCCTACTGCCCAACGCCACCTCCTGTGTACATTCAGTTTAATCATGCAACAAAAAAATAAAATAAAATGGATCAAGCATATACAGCTGCGATTAGCATCAACGGGTACAATAAGTAGACCATGGAATTTCCTAAGCTTTGGGAATCACTTGTACCTGAAACACACATGAAGATTATAAGTTTGCTGAAGAGAAACAAGAAAGATAGAAAAAGGTCGGGGAATGTATGATCGATCCGATCGTGATACCTGGAGTAGTCTTAGAGGTGGAGGTGATGCATGAGATCGGGTTGACATGTTGACCAGATCTTGCTAGTAATTCTTGGGCCTTAGTGACATTGATACCAACATTCTCAGCATTTTTAGTACCTTGATTGCTTATCATAATACATAAGCACTGTGGATTGGATTTTATCACTGATTTCAATGGATAACAATAGCTATCAGGGGGATCCTGTCCCTGCCTACCCTTAAGCTACTTATGGACCTTCTCCACACTCCCTTCATTGAATACAGTCGAAGGAAGCAAGAACAGGGCATCAGAAGACCACGAGAGTGGCCTCCTGACGCCCCCATTGTTGTTCCAAAGCACCACCATCACCACCTGTGCGGCTGCTGCTACTCCCCCATAAATCCTCCTAAACCCTTCGTAAATGATAAACTCAAGTCGAGTTCTACATTCAAAGCCACGAAAATTAGTTTCTTTTTTTTTTTCTCTGGTACGATATATTGAGAACGAAGAAGACACAGGAGGATGTTTACCTCCTGCATAATCAAACTTGAATACAGAACGAGAGGGAAATCATCGACTCAAACTTTTGGTTTTTAAGCAAAATTTCCTTCTCTCAACACCAAAATCAACCAATTAATTTAGTTTGGTCGAGTCCTATTATCATTGATAATTTAATATAATCCTGAATTTGGTCGCCCGATGAGATACGAACGAGAGGGAAATAGCAGTGGGTGGATATTTGGTTTCCTTGTGATGTTCTTGAGACGGAAAAGAAAACGATATATATATATATATATATATATATATATATATATATATATATATATATATATATATATATATATATACCTTTAATCTTAATTACCTTATAAAACATTTTTTGGTCAAACGCTGAATTTTAAGTCGTACAACCATACAATGCATTTGTACAATCAATTTATGCATTACAAAAAGAGTAGAGTACATATGGTCAACAGTTGAAAATGTTAAATCTCTTATCCCCTATTCTTAGGCTATTTTGACCCGGTTCATTCCTTATCTCCGTATTTCCTCAAATCTCGCAATTTCTGTTCACAAACTTGGATATATATCGCCGACGTTTCCATTTCTAGGGTTTAATTCATCTTTCAACATTTAGCCACCATTGTCACACCCGTCGCTTGGCGCGGGTAACGGCTAGTATTATATATATATATATATATATATATATATATATATATATATATATATATAAGGCAAAACTTCATAAATAGTCCTTGTAGTAGTGAAAAGACAGAAATGCTCTTTACTTAACGGCCAAAATTTAAGGGAGTGAGCTGGGAGGACCAAATGTTAAAAGTTTTGAAACCACATGGACAATCCGTGAGGTTTTTTGAACTTATGGACTAAACTTGATATTTTCGGAAACCATAGAGACCATTTTTGAAGTTTTGTCTATATGAAATTATGATATTTTGGGATTTAATTTGGTATTTATTTGTGAAATTGTGTGTTAATGAGTAACTGTCATGACACTTTAAGATGAAAAGTTCATGATGTGGAAGTTAAGGCATGTTGGAAATTTGAAATTACATTCCTGTTTTGTGCTTGAAGCCTTAATTGTGATGAAAGTAAAATATTTGTGATTTGTGTAAAACAATAAATCATATAGGGAGTAATGTGAGTTAAAATCTAGCCATTTGGGGTAATACTTAGATTAAAAACAAGTTTTGTGGCTAATATGTGAGAGAGATGATAACGATGAATAATTTGTGAATTCTTGATTATGATTTACGGACGACCCAAAAAAGGATCCTCCGGATCGTTGGCATAGTTAGGATGTAGGAAATTTTGGTGACCTCAAAGAATTTAGAAACGACATTAGAAAAAGGGTAAGTCACACCTAAGGAAAAATGATACTCAGGAAAGCAAATCCAAGTAGGGGAAACAAAATCTGGTTGAACTAGAGCATTAAAAGACTTAAAAATAGTACCAACGAGAAAAACCACACTTGCTTTCAAGGATTTGATGCCCTCATTATCAAAAGAGCAAGTCTCTTCGTAAGACGATATCTTTTGATCAACGAAGTCCCTGTCGGAAGGAACGATGATGCTAGAATGGGAACAGAGTGCGTTTTTGCTCATGATCAACGAACATGAAAAATAAGAAGAAATGAGCAAGAAGTTTACCTTCAAGATAACTAGTAACCATTGAAAGAGAGTTGGAAGAAGTAAGATTGATAATCAGTAAGCCTTATTTATACATACAAATGGCAAATGAGAAGGAAGTGATTTGACAACATAGTCATATTTTTTGAAGACAAAATTGCAAAAATGATCCTTGTGGTTGGCAAAATTCTGTAGTTTTGGTCGAAAACGAAATGTTGGTGCACCACTGGTCCAATTTTAGATATTTTGTGTGGTTTTGGTCCCTATGGTTGTATTTTCTTGTGTTTTTGGTCCACATCCCACCTAAAATCACTAATATGCCCCTTAAATAGTTATATTTTAATTTCTTTTATTTATTTTCTTATTCTTATAATAAAATGAAAAACAAATACAAAATATCTCTCTCTCTCTCTCTCTCTCTCTCTCTATAAACAAAATAAACCCACCACAAAATAAAAATATCTTATACAAAACTACACATAAAGGAAACGTGTTTCCTTCCTTAAATAAAGTTGTCAAATGAAACACCCAAACATCCTAAGGATTTTGAGGTTGTTCTTTATTCATCTTTGATTAACTCTCAAGAACACACACCATTAGAGTGGCTGATTACCTATGAAATCAAGAAAATGGCATCCTTTTCCCCATTTCCACTGATGTTAATTAAAACAAAGCTGGAAAAAAAATTCTTACCTTTCTTCCTTGATTTTCGGCCTATTTCTTTGTCCTCTGTCATGAACCACCGGCTATAGTGGTGCTTCGGTGAGCCATCGAGACAGTAGCCTCACCTCTCGCACATCTCTTCTTCTCCCGTCAAAGAAGATGCCACCGAACCACCTACGACATCGTGCTTCTTGTCTGAACTCTTTTCTGGCCTCCTTCCCTTCGAAACCCCTAGCCACACCGAACCCCTTCCTTCGTATCCTTCTTCCGAGACTGAAGAGCACAAGAGCTGCTTAGGCAGCCATTGCTACCCTCGCTTTATCCTCCACTCCGGATGAGTAAAACACCGAGAGGCGGCAATTTCTCTTCCCAATGAATGACAAGAGGCGACGACCTCTTGTGTTGCTCGTCCCTACTCGCGAATTGGCCACTAGACCATTGATCGACTTTGGAGTTGTTCCTATTCGTATTTCTTTTTCTCCATCAGACGAGGATCTTCCTAATTTTGTGTATTTTGTGTGTGTCTTTAAGAAGAGGAAGTTAAAGAACCCAAATGAAGATTCAGAGAGAGAGAGAGAGAGAGAGAGAGAGAGACGAGATAGTGGTGGTTTTTTATTTTGAATAAAAATAGATAATAAAAAATGGAAAAACAAATTATAATGGTATAATGGTCTTTTTAAGTAGATAGGGACCAAAAACAATAGAAATATCCAATTTTGGACCAGTGGTACACCAACATTTTGTTTTGAACCAAAAGCACATAAAATTACCAACCACAATGACCATTTTTGTAATTTTGTCTTTTTTAAATGGATGTCATTATATACGTTAGAGTTTGATTTTTTTTTAAAGGGCAAATATATATATATATATATATATATATATATATATATATATATATATATATATATATAATGAAAACAAAGACCTAGCAAGAAGCTAAGACTTATACAGAATACAAGTAGAAATAGTATCATGAGATAAGTATAAAGATTAGAGTATTGGAAAAAAGGAGAAACTCTATTCGATCCAACTTCCACAACTACCATTGCACCTGTGCTTACACCATAAGTATGGTGAGGCAATTATGCTATTAGCAATTCTTGTGGTTGAATTCCTTAATCTCTTGAAGACTATATCGTTTCTTACCAACCAAACATTCTAAAGTAAACCGTAGAAGATGGAGTTGATGATCTGTTTTTCCTAGGGAAATTCCCCCATGAAGCAGCTTGATCCAGGAAAGTTGTGACATTGTTGAACTGCATAAGGCTTATTCCTATCCACTTAAAAACCCATTCCCTTACTGTATGAGTGAACTCACAATTAGAAAGTAAATGATCAACAATTTTTGGTTCTTTCTCACAGAGGGAGCATATGGGATTATTGACTGAGATTCCCCTCGCATGTAGCATGCCTTCTATTAGAATTCTCCCTAATGAAACTCGCCAAACCCAACATTGAACTTTGAGTGGAATAGCATTTGAGCAACAAATTGCCTTGCCCCTTATAAAGAGTTATTTTGGAGCCTATTAACCCATACAAGATTATTTCATGATCTAACCCCTAGAACCCTTTAAGTTTGACCTCTTGGTAAGTTGTTATTATGCATAAAAATCTACTTTCCATCTTAAAGCTAAGAACTCTTTCTTACATAGTTTATTTCATGATCTAACCCCCTAGAACCCTTTAAGTTTGAAAACATCCTCAAGGAGTTTGCTAGGGCTGAGATCTACTCATCTCTTCACCCAAAACCAAATCCAACACCCCAAGGTGAGTTCATACCCCCTATTTTCGCTTTTTACTTGGTTGTTGGGGGAGAATACAAGTTGTTTTGTGTAGATCTATGTGTATATGCATGAGTATGTGTGTTTTCATGAATTATTTGGTGATTATGTGTTGTTTACTTCACAGATCTAAAAATATGTTAAGAACATGAAGTTTATCACTTGTATCTTCTTAAAAACCTTGAGAAAAATATGTGTTATCACATATAATACATGTAAACTTGTAGATTTGGTATTTATACACTTAAAATAGCAAAAATGAGTGTTGTGTTCAAAGATCTATAAACTAAACTCACAAATCAGCCCTTGACGGTAAAGTTTTGGTCCAATCTCGGACTGTTTTGACCACCTTAATGATAATATTTTTCAAAACTATTTTACATGCAAAAAGCTCAGATTTATACCTTTAAAATGACTACTCTCACGTTTTCATACGATTTTTTTTTTTACAATTTTAGGTGCATTTTACAAAACTACCTATCACATTTGAAATAATTTCGGACCAACCTGTGAAGGTGAGCAATTTCACACTAGTTTGAGGCCATTAAAAATTATGAGAGAAATTGTAAACAAAGTAGACAAATTTTCCAAACTTCTAGAGTTTACGGATCCAAATTTCGACTTACTATAATTTTTCTACAAATTTTCCAACAACCGAGTTAGAAAGGTTAAAACCAGGAAAATGTGTATTTTCACAAAAATCAAGCTAAAAATGATATTTTTGACAAAAAAAGAGTTAAAAATGTTACTTTTACCAAAAATTAGCCATAAACACAAGATTTGAACAAAATGGTGACTAAAGTATTATTTTTACTAAGATTGGGCCAGAATGAGAAAATTTTGGCTTATTGGGTCAAGAATGTAATTTTTATGAAAAATGAGCTGAAATGGTGAAATGAATATTTTGGGGTCAAATATGTTAATATTAAAACAATTGGGCCAAAGATATTAAGTTCATGATATATATATATATATATATATATATATATATATATATATATATATATATATGTGTGTGTGTGTGTGTGTGTGTGTGTGTGTTTATAACCAAAGTGCCGTTACAATCCAATGTCAAGTGTTTTACTATTGAAAATAAATACTAAGCGTAAAATGAATTCTATATTACAAACATATCGAAGAACGGATAAATGATACAATGATTGGGTCTAATGTTATTCATTGTGACCATTGGGCCTTCGTGGTCCAATTTCACAATTATTAGACCCAATATAATCAAAACATGTTTATTGGGCTTTCGGTAACCCAATTACATGCCTACGGGACCCTCTATGGCTTTTACATGCTATTGGGCCTTAGTGGCCTATTTGCATTGCTAGTATGATCCAAATCAAACGTATGTTTGATGGGTTAACATGTCCATAAGCATACTCGACAACCTATAAATGACACAAATGATTAGTGGGCCATAACGTCCTTTTTCGTGTTTGTTAGGCTTTACTCTATACTATGTAAACATCAAACGAGTTGTAATCAATGCCATCAAATTCATGGGGTAATATTGGGAACTTAGTGAGAAAATATCGATCGGCACCAATAAGTGTCGGCCGTAGTCTATAAGTTGTAACCAGAGTCTCCTGGAGAGAGAGAGAGAGAGAGAGAGAGAGAGAGAGAGAATGTGTGTATAGATCTATACGGGGGTGACTCCTTCACACCTGAGTTGTGACCAGTTTAGGGTGACAAAATCTTAATCAAAACCGGCATTTGTAAAAATTCCAAGACAGGCGAAATAGTCATTATCATGCTTGATTATAACGACTTACATAGAGATCCATTACCATTTTATCAATCATGGGAAATCAACTTCATACATGTACTGGTACTCAACCTCGAGGGTTGGTACGGCAACATTCTCCATTGCAGACAACATCGGGTTGTCTGGGGACATTCTCTTTTCTCTTGGATTACTCAGAAACATACTCGTACTGGTACTAAACCTCGAGGGTTGGTACGACAGTATTCTCGTTTACAGACAACATCAAGTTGTCTGGAGGCATTCTCTATACATTCTCCTTATAATTTCAGTAATATCTTGATCCATTCTAATAAACCATAACAGACATGCATTAATACAACATCTGACACAAGCATACTAAATTGTTTTCAGAAAATATAGGATTTTCTGGTGGTTTCAAAGTTATACAAATCATTTTCACAAATATGCTTATGAACTTACCAACATTTTTATGTTGACCTTTTTAAATTAACTTGTATTCTCAGGAAACCGTTGAAGCAGGTTGAGCTGAACAAACTATCGGATATTTAGTATTATTTTGTTTCATCATACTTTAACTATTTGGCATGTAATATTCAATAACAATACTCAATGTAAACTATGAATGTTTTTATATTACATGTGTGATGATGATGATGTTATGTTTCATTTATATTCATTGTGATGATTATTCAATTTTTAGTCACATGAGCCCTGGACGTTTCCGCCGTCTGGTTCAGGGATGTGACATTAGATGTTATATGTTATGTTTTCCAGGGCAAGCCCGATGCATGTTAGTTAGATGTTATATGATATGTTATGTGTATATGATATATGATATGTTGTGTGTGTGTCGGGGTAAGCCTGATGCCAGGGTGAGCCCAATACCAGGCGTTGTCTGATGCCGGAGTGAGCCCGATGCCGGGGAGTCCGTAGACGGGTTCGTCCCGATGTAGCTGGGCGGTGTTCCGTAGTTGTATTATCTGTTATTTGATATAGGTGTATTGTATGTGGTAGTTTTGGAGAGCTCACTAAGCTTCGTGCTTACAGTTTTCTGTTTGGTTTCAGGTACTTCAGCTAGCAAAGGGAAGGACTCGGGGTGATCGCATCGTACACACCACAGTTTCTGGCTTGGGATATTTACTCTAATATCTGATAAATGTTTTGATACATTGACATATTTTTTTTTATAATATTATGAGTTACATGACTTATGTTTTGATGTGAAGTTTGATATTTTTGGGTTGTATTTTTTAGATGTTTCATTTCCCTTGGTGGTGGTGTCATTGGTGACATGTGTAGATATGCTGCAACTTCTTTCCTTTGTGGTTTCAATTTCATTCAAATCCCTACAACGGTTATGGCACAAATATACTAGAATGGGACAAAAGTTGGACCTTTTTCTCTCATCCGTGAAAAAGACGTAAATTGCCATCTCATTGTTGATTAGAGTTTCATTTGCTACTCCAGGTGGATTCTTTAGTTGGGGGTAAAACGGGAATAAACCATAGATTGGGAAAAAACTTGATTAGAGCATTTTATCAGCCACATTGTGTGCTTTAGGTCTTGCTGAGGCCATCAAGAGGGTGTTTGAGGTTGCTTTAAAAAAAAACTTTTGGTTTTTAACTTTTTCAAAATGTTAAAAAAAAAAAACAAAAAAAGAAAAACAAAAGTTGTGTGGATAGTTCAAAAGATATTTTGGAAATGACTTTTGGTAAGAAGAAAATAAGGAACTTATAAAATTCACAAAAACATCACTTTTATTTTTTATTTTTTTTATTGTTTTACCTATAAAAATTAAATAAAAAATCATTTTGTCAATCCAAACACATTTTAAAAACCTTTACAAAAAATCCTTCTACAAGAAAGACTTTTGATGCTCAAAAGTAATCTAAACACTCTCCAAGTATGGGCTTATTAGAGATGTTCCATTTTTTGAGTGGCAACAGAAGAATATGCAAAGTTTAATGTCTAGGTAAATATATTATTTTGTTAATATCATAATATCTGAAACAAAAATTGCAATTTTTAAAAAGTAGGATAAAAAGATCATATATTAATGAATGTGATTTTGTTTTTTATGGATCCTGATGCTTTTGCATATGCTATAAAGCATATCTCAAGATGAGAATAAAAGTCGTTTAAAGGCGATACTAAATCTGGAACATACATTTGGTGACGTGAGTTTTGGGTTTTATTTTATTATTTGAGTTTTGGGTTTTATTTTATTATTTATTTATTTATTATATTAAATTCCAATTCCATGGGGTCTTTTAACTCCATGTTTACATGGATTTGAGCATTCAAACGAGAAGGTTCTACCTTTTTTATTAAAAGACCAAAATACCTTTAACTATATATATTGAAATAAAAAAATAAAAAGTTTAGTTATATTTATTTGCCATAAATAAAAGTTTATTTATAAAAAAAAAAAATATATGAATAAATTTTTGGTTAGCAGGAATTGCCATGGAATTGAATAATAAAATTGAATAGATTTTTAGTTCATTTATAATTATTATTTCTTTTTATTTTCAGTATATCGCTAATAAGGGAATTTTGGTATTTCAATAATAATTAAAAAAAAAAAAAAAAAAAAGATAGAATGAATCCCTTTAACCATTATATGGCTTATACCAACCAAACACCTCAATTTCAATTTGTTGGATTCCCTTTACATATTTAATTCCTTTCAAAAACATTCTACAAATCATTTTCCTTTTTAAAAACAATTATATTTTTTATACTTTTTGGCTAATGCTTACTTATTTATTTTTTCCAAAAAAATCTTTATTCTTATACTTTTTATTTATTTTTTAATGAGTTTTATATAGAAAAGTCTCATTATTTTGAGTAAGTTTTTTTGATAAAGTCGTAAATGTTTTTTTTGTTAACA